GGCAAACCTAGCAGAACCAAAGAATTTTCTGATGGATTATATGTAGGAAATAATACAGACATCAAGGATTTCTTTACTTAAGCCCATCTAAAGAAGCAAAAACGTTTATTATATAAAGACATTATATAGCCAGGCATGTGGCACACTCCTATAATCCTAACATTTTCAGAGGCTGAAGCAGGAGGATTCCAAGTTTCAGCCCAGGTTGGATAATTTACTGACTTAGCAAAAAACTTACTCAAAATAAAAACATTACTAAAAGGCCTGGGGATGTAGCTCAGTGCAAAGGCTGTGGGTTTGACTCCCAGTTTTTTTTTTTAAAGACTATATTATATAGAGTAAGAAAAAAGAAGTTAAGTGTCCATTGTATATTTTCTTCTTAAGTGTCACAGAAGCCTGGAGGGGTAAAATATTATTTTTCTCATTTTCCAGATGAGAAGGATGTTCAAGGTGTTGTCTAAAGCATCTAACTACTAGGTAATAATTCCAAGATGCCATCACTTCCAAAGTCTGAGTAACCCCTCTGTAGGACTGCTTTGCTACCCATCATACAGAAATAGCAAGGCATGGTGGCACATGCCTGTACCATGCCCAGCACAAGAGACTGAAGCAGGAGGGCTCCCTTGAGTATGAGGCCAGCCTAGGTTTCACAAGTGAGTTCAAGGCCAGTGTGAACTACACAGTGAGAGTATGTCACAAATGAACAAACAAACCCAAAGAGACACAGAAACATACTAGTAACTCTAGGCCTCGATAATGACACATGGCTGCGGGAGACCAGGGCCTGCTGCCATCTCCCTGCAGAGCTGCTGAAGCTCAGAGTACAGGGGATTCTATGCAGAAAAGGCAACTCGGGAAGAACTGAGAGGACCTCAGGAAGGCACAATCTGGTTTAGAACAGGAACCAAGGCAACCTGTCTTCCTCTTTTACATAGCTAACTTGCTTGAAAGAGAAATAGGAGGATGCCGTAACTTTGATAAATAAAAATACAGTACAGTAAATATCTATAAAACTGATTTGTTCCAGAAAACCAAAAAAGGCTTTCGGGTGAAAAAGTAAAAACAAAACAAATCATTTACTTTTATATTTCCCAGGAAAGTACATTCTAATAAGACCAGAGACAAAAAATTAGTCATTCCCTTCCTTAAAATATTTGGAAACAGGAAAAAATAAAATTACATAACAGGTTATTCAAATCTGCTTTTTGAAAATTTCATCTATAGCATCCTATTCTTTATGGAAAAAAGGGGACATAAGAATACCAACACATTTGTATCTGGTCATTTCTGTATAACAAATGTGGAAACCAAGCTGTAATATACATGAGTACCCCAAGTCCACTGAAGGAAGTGAGAAAGAAAACATTTGCCAGAGTTCAACAACTGTTTTGAATGTACACCACAAGGCTAATGACCAAAGCGACCAGGTAGAGTACTTTCAAGCTAGAAACTTTCTTTTTTACAGGGACGTGGGCTAGCAATTCTGAAACTACTTCTGAGTATTCTGTGACGGCACAGATGAGGAAAGACACTGCAGCTCTCCTGGAGGGAAAAGCTGCAAATAAGCAAGGGAGAACAAACCTGTGTGGTCGCTGGACCCGTCAGTGTGGTTTCCCATACAAATGCACATGGGTGTGTGAGTGTGCATGATGATGTGCACTTACTCCCTAGCTCTGCTAAGATGTGTGTGAAGCAAGACAGAGGCCCAGAGCACAGCCAAGCACCAGCTGCCATGAAAGGAATCGGTGCTCCCTGGAGAAATGGCTGATTCCAGGGCAGGGCGGGGAAATTTGAAGACGAGCTTAGAGCATTCTGTGGTGTCAGAAGGTGAGGAAGCAAGCTGGGTATGGTGGTGCATGCAGCATACTCAAAGGCTGAGGCAGAAGAATGGAAAGTTCAGACCCAATACAGGCAATTCCATGTGAACGTGTACCAAAATAAAAAGTTAAAGGGCTGGGGGTATACTTCTGTGTGAAGAGAAGAGCCCTGGATAGAGACCTCAGTACCACAAAAGAAGAAAAAGGAAAAAAACGCGAGGAAGAACAAAAACAAGCTCCTCCTCCCCAATTCAATGGGGACACACTGACAGAACACGACAGGAGTGTTTAATGACTGGACCTTAGACAATCAGAGAGAGAAAAAAGAAATAAAAAGTAACTTACAGAAGAAAATAAATATCCATAGATGCATAATGATACTGAAGATATATGGGGGAGAAGGGACAGTTCTTCCTCACAGTAGAATTCCAGTTACTAAACACGGCAGGAAAAACAGAAACAGGAAAATTACTATTGATCTAATTCCACAGTAATACCTGCTATATTAAAAAATCACTTATGGATCCTAGAATGGAGGTGTGAAGATACATACAGTACAAACCAAGACATCCTGGTATTCCTCTCCCAAAAGAGACACTTAGTAATCACAAAGGAAAGACAGTAACTTTACAGAAGAGAAACAAGCAGACTCCACCTTGACCAAATGATCTAAGTCATTACCACTAGGAATGAGAAATCAACATCATGCATCTCCTGATAATGAACTGAGATGGTCATGACATACATGGTATTTTTTTTAAAAATGCACAAACTTAATCTAATCATTTAAAACGTAAAACAAACCCAAATCAGGGGAGACTCTACAAATGGCCAGTTGTCTCCAAAATTGTCAGAGTCACGAAAGACCAAGACTGAAGACCTATCATACCTTACAGGGGAATAAAGAGACAGGAGAGCACAGGTATAACCCCTGCACTTGGCAGGGTTGAGGCAAGACGACTGCAAATTCGAGTCCTGCCTGGACACTTCAATGAGATTTTCTCCCAAAAATTAAAAAACGTAGTGTGACGACTCTGGCTTCAGGTTCAGGTAGCTGGCAGTAGATTATGTAGGTAGGTAGGTAGGTAGACAGATAAACAAACAGCCAGGATACCTAAGTATAATGCTGATCCCACATCTGATCTTTGACCAGAAAAGGACATTAGTGTGGTTACTGATGAAATCCAAATAAGACTGTGGAACAGTTAATAGTATTGCATCAATACTAATTTCCTGATTTTGATGAATGTCCAGCGGCTAGTGGCAAGATCTCAACATTACAGGAAGCCGGGTGAAGCATATAAGAGAACTTTCTGAAACAGTTTTGCAACTTTTCTGTAAGTCTAAAAATTATTTCAAAACAAAGATTTAAAAATATGACTACTATTGAAAATATTACCCTAAATAAGACTTGTTTAGCCTATTGTAAAGTCCATTTCTATAGTAGTGTTATCTATAATTGGAAAAGGTTCTTCCTTTTAGTTGACCCTACAGTTTAAAAACATAAATTACTGAATCTGGAAAGTTCCTATATTATAAGAAAAAACTTACATACATTTGCAAATTTTTGCAATGAAAATTTAAAATACATGATATAGAGAAGCTTTTTAAGTGTCTGTTAATACAGTAAAGATGATTTTCAGTCATTCCTATAACTGTCATAAAAATTTAGACTCTTATTGTGGATTTTTAGGACATGGTCCAGCCTTGTCTCACCACCTAAAGATGCAAACGCCTGTAAGTGAGGCTGGAGACAGCTTGCGCTGGCGCCGCTCCTGGACTCTCTCTCCTGACTCTAGGCCTGGGTCTGTTTCTCCCTTGTACATCTGAGTAGTTCTTCACTTAACCGAAAACTTACCAGGAAGCACAATGATCTAAACACAACATCATTAGAGTTAAAATACTTACAACTGCTTCTAATAAAATCAAAACAACCACTAAATTTGAAATAATTCATTAGATGTGGGAATGAAAAGAAATATTAACCCAAAGTAGTACACACACATTAAAAGTAAGAAGTTTAAGCATTCTAATAATCTGTTTTAAGTGAATCTTTATGCAGGCCTTTTATAATAACTGTTCATGCTGTTGTTTAATCGCTTTTGGTTTTTGTTTTTGAGTCAGGGTCTTGCTCTGTGATTCAGACTGGCCTCAAATTCAAATTGCTGAGCACAGTGATCTTTCTGCCTCAGCCTCCTGAATAGCTGGGACTAAGAGGGTATACAATCATGTCTAGCTTTAACTTTTTTTTCTTTTTCTGTTTTTTTTTTTTTTTTTTTTGTACTCATGGATTGAACTCATGACCATTGTTTCTTTTTCTGAATGAAAGTATTTCTGTACTTCTTCACTATTTTCTTCTAAGGATTTCAGTTTCAATTAATGGCAACTTTTAGACATTTATAACATAAGAAGCCTTTACCAAACACAAACATGTCAGGCATGATAGCTAAAACCAAAAAAGGTGAACAGATTCAGGTCCTCAGGCACGCGCTGCATAGCAGGACAGATGGGCAACGCTGACTGAAGTTTGAAGTGACAAGCAGTGTACAAGGAGGGGTAGTTATCAGTTACCCCAGAGCTCAGAAATGTCCTTACTTCCAGTGAACAAAAGAAGAAATGAAATTGCTCTAAGTTGCTCAATAATTGGCAAAGCATGACTTGAACCAGGTCTTCTAATGTAGGTTAGAATCAATTTTGATCTAAATGATTAACCATTTTATACCTGTTCCACAGTCAAGGCGCTGGGTTTGAGTCCTGAAGTGGGCCACAATCTATGAGTCCTTAGGAACTCTGTGAACTCAGACAATCTGTCTGGCATCTCTGCATTCACTTTCCTCACGTGGGGATAATAATCTTATCTCATAAGGTTAGGTGAGAGGTAAATGAATAAATAAACAAAGCAACTGCAGGGTTAGTTGCAGGCACCCTGGAGAGTTCACACATTGAGAATTCCTTAACGGATGTGACTGTTTTTCTTTATTTTTGAGTTTATAGAGGGTGGCAGGGTGTCTGGGACACATATGTTAAATTAATATGCACTACATGAAGACATTAAATAAATGTTGAATCTAAGACTATTTTTACAATATATTCAGTATACTTATTTGTGTTACCAGGCTTTCTAAAAATTCCAATTCACCCACTCACATTTCCCAGGCCCGCTCCTCTCCCAGCAGCACTTACTGTTGACTGTTGCACCCTCATTCGGGTTGGAATATCCCTCTCCTTTACGCTTGATTCTCCGGACAATGCCTCCATCTTCAAATAAATCCTCTCCTTTGAAATCAAGGAGCTCAATCTAGAAAGGAGAAAGATTTAACTAGGAAAAGATCAAACAAAATCAATTTAACATATGTAAAAGCAAAAGCAACTAATTTGCCTTTCGTTTTATAAAATAAGTCTTTTTCTTAAAAAAAAAAATCTCTGCAGTATAAAGTAGAAAAAAAGAACACTGTATTTTTGATACTTGGAAAGAACTCTGTGTAATGATAATGTCTAGGACTACATCCTGTGGGGCTGCAGAGCAAAGACAGACAGGAAATACTAGGAAAACGGCCTTGTGGGCAAAAGGCCAGAGGCCAAAGCGACAAGGTGCTGGTGCACAGCTATTGTGTCTGACTCCAAGGCCACCGCTTTTCCACCCCAGATTTATGAAGTCCCTTCTTAAAATGTGAGAAGAAACCCTAGGAATCTGGCCTACTATTCACTGATGGTGTATTTTACCTCACTGGAATAATTCTTAAAATCAGATTTTGTCAAACAGAGTGATGAATTCAACACAGGACAAATAACGTCACCACTTACTGCTTTTAAGGAAGGGAAATCTAACACTTATAAATCTTTTTTTTTTTTTTTTAGTCTTTTTTGAGACGGGGTCTCGCTATGCAGATCAGGCTGGCCTTGAACTCACTTTGTAGCCCAGGCTGGTCTCGAACTCACAACAATCCTCCCACCTTAGACTCCCGAGTGCTGAGGTTACAGGCGTGAGCCACCACACCTGCCTAACACATACAAGCCTTAAAAACACCTTACTAGTTGATACACAGATATTCCACATTTATGTCCACCACTCCATCTGTCAGTTTTGAGTGTGCCATGTTCACACTGCTGACACAGAGCTTTATTTCTGCATCCAGCGTCTTTTGTTTATTTGGCTATGCCCTGTCTGTGCCAGGCACACATTTCTAAGAATGCACTGGCACACACTCCTTGGGTTTGTGGGAAACAATTCAAGAATCCGAGCTCCAAAATAAGAAAGCTGGGTGTGAGTCTCGATCGCAAGCCCAGCTCCGCGTCCCCAGGTGGCCCGGGTGCGGCAGACCCTGCCATCGAGGCAGTGCCGCACACTTGCCTCGAAGAAGAGAGTTGCATTCGCGGGGATTTTTGGGAGGCTGCCAGTCGAGCCGTAGGCATATTCTGGTTTGCAGAGCAGATGGCAGACCTCTCCTTTCTTCATGGTGGCTACTCCGATGTCCCATGCCTTGATAACCTGGCCTGCAACAAAAAGGGAAAGGCATGGGCCATATCTAAAATGATTTAACTTTCACAAAACAAAAGTTCATAGAAGCTTCCAAGTTTTTTCTTTTTTTTTTGTCTTTTTATCGGTACGGGAATCAAACTCACAACTGCCTGCTTGAGGCGGGCGCTTGTGCCGCTGAGCTAAATCCCCAGCCCCAAGCTTCCAACTTTTCATACTATGTACTCAGCTAGAGATTAGGGGTCACAAGACAACGGAACTCAGTAAAAGCTACACACAAAGAAATAAATTAAGACTTTTTGGAAGGCTATGAAAGACAATTCCCTGCTGAGGAAGATGAAAGTAATTATCAATTCCTCTACTACTCAAGCTTAAATCTTTGAGAAGTGGTGGTAACATAATCACAGGACATGGCTGTGACACAATTGTTGCTTAACTTAGCGTTTCAACCATAATAATGTGTACGTTGGCAGAGATGGAACACAAATAACTCAGAAAAGGGAATTCAGAAAAATGAGTGAATGAATGAAAGAAAGAAAGAAAATAGTTTGTCTTAAGCTTATAATTTAGTTGGACAGGGAACAAATGCCAAAACACAAGAAGCAACCAAAAAAGTACATCGTGTAAAAGGGTCCATGAAATAAGTTCTGAAAATTTAGAATCAGAAAAATATTTCTACAAATAAAAAAGCCGAGGTTATGTGTCATTTTGTCAATTCACAAGAATTATGCAATTCTGATTTTTTTCTTTTTTGCCAATTCCTATGAAGTCATGGTTCAATAACAGAACTGAATAAGGCTATATAATCATAATCTCCATGTTTCCAATTCTCATCATGTGCATCTTTAGCTGCATCTTACTGTAAGCAGTTATGAAACCTTTTGGAAGGATATTCAGAAGAATAAAACAACATGTGAGGTGTTGCGTTAATCAAAAAGCAAGTACTCCACCAACTGGGGTCAGCTTAGCAGAGAACCCCAGAGGAAATGAGTTCTGAAGAGAACTGTGATCTTGGATTGAAAAGAGGCTGAAGGCAGGACATGATCTATCTATTTGGTATCTTTTTATGCATTTTAATTCATTGTTAAACTGGTAACTCATGTTTTATATTATTTAGTTTAGCTACCTTTTATTAGTGGGGACAAAACTATGGTCAACCAGTAAGATTAACTGCACAGTAAAATTCATTAAATCAGGGACAAATGGGGAAGTGAGACACACAGTAAGCAGGCACAAATACAGAACAGTGACTCTGTAGAGGGCTGGGATGGTGACTCCTGGCTTTCTCAGAGTGATAAGAAACCTATTCAGAATATCAACTCCTGATGCTTATCCCTAGGAAGTATGTGGGTACATTTGATTTATCTTTTGTCTTAAGCTCTGGCCCACAACACAGGTGTTGTTTTCTCCAACGCTGTCTGCTCTGGCTCCTTCGAGGGCCCAGTCCTGTCTGACTGCCTATAATATTTCTATCTAACTCAGCTGCCTGTCACACTCCCCACCTGAAGAAGTAACCTGAACTGCCAATCTGGCTCTTCAGGCAACAGGGTCATAGTTGTTGACTGGCAGTCAGGGGTACTCTGCAGAGTCTATCTACAGGCCCTCGACAAACAACAGGCATTTTTATCTTGGGAGGTGTACAGCTTTAAATCTCTATCCAATGATCATAGTGGAACCCTCCAAATGATATAGGGAAACAAAACTCCCAACCTACTATATAGCCGGTACAAGTTCGTGTTCTCTAAAATCGAAGAATGAATTAATTTTAGGACCACCAGAGGCTAAGAGTGGAATATACTTATTGAGAGAAACAAAGCTTCTATCTAAGAGACAGAAGGGGTTCTGAGTAGGTTGCTCTCTTTTATCATTTTGAGTAAGTCAGCTGTTTGGTTTTTTATCTCCTTCCCGTCAGTGCCTTATGGACAGAGTTGGGAGTTGGGAGTTTTGGGAAGAATTCTGTTATCATGTTTTCTTTCATTCTTTCCTCTCTCCTTCCTTCCTTTTCCATTCTTCCTTTTCCTTTCTTCCTTCACTGATCACATTGGCAGACGAGGAACAAACAGACCAGAGTTCTGTGCTGAAAGCAGGCAGAGGGGCAGGAGGGAAGAAGAGCCGAGCAGTCTGCCTGACTTAATGCCAGCAATCTCAGAATCAACCTCCGCCAAAAGCCAACCGTGATTAACCTGACTTCTCAGCTTGGAGGGTGGGATCGCCACGTCCTTCCTGGCTGACAGCACAGTTCTCATGGGGTTTCAGTCCCTGTAGTAGATGACTCCGGGAACCCCGACATGTAATTGTTCTGGAGCTCAGCCTTAAACAATCCATCCCCAGAATGGCCCTGATGAAACATTCTCAAATGTGTTGAGCGCTGCCCTGGATTTCTTCTCCGACTCCAGCCTGCATGCAGAGGGAGTCACATCGAGAGAGTAAACCTCGCGCTGTGTGTGCAGACTGCAGTGTTGTTTCTCCTGTGCTGCCAACCCTCTCAGACTTATTTTGTGTTACTGGAGACAAGTCCCAACCCAGCAGCTGGGACAACTTTCCAGATTCTCTCCAGTGTCTTGTAGTTGTAGTTTTCTTGTCAATTCCACATTAACCCCAGTTCCCAGAGACCTGCTTTTTTTTCTTCACCAAATTGTTGTTTTCCATGTATCTCAATTCCAGGTCCCAGAGCAGCTGTACTTTGCTGTCAGAATTTACTCTGCCATTTTTAATGTAAAATAGGAAGTTGTATACATTCTTCATGTATTCTAGGTGCTCATCCTTTATCAAATATATGACTCACAAATATTTCTCTCCCATTCTTCAGTATCCTGTTTTTAGAAGACTATTTTAAATTTCTTTAATTTAAAATTAAAGAATGCCTCTTTTGTTAGTTTTTGGAGGATCGTTATTCAGTCCCACAACTGACACATTTTCTACTTTCTCATTTTGTTTGCAAGCCACCTAAATATTTATTCCGATGACAATGTTCTCTTTCAGACATTACAAAAAAAGGACCTTATACTGTGATCACAAAGGATAGTGTTAGAAAGTATGAATATGTAAATGATTTTAAAAGGTAACATTTGTTTTCAGATTATTGCTAAGTCTCTAAAGCCAAGGTCGCAGCTGCCGAAGGCACTCCTTTTCCACACACAGCATCACCGAGATCCTCCCCAAGTGCTCCTAAACCTGTGGTCAGTCTTCCCCATGGCTGTGAAAGCTCCTCTGGTAGATCTGCTTGCTCTTGCTGCTGCTTTTCTTCTAGAGCTCTTCAAATGTAAGCTTTGTATCTAATGCTGGGACATCTTAAATATACTTCTGGAACCATCTTGCACACTGAGATGAACAGCCCTGCAGAGATTCACTTCTTCATCTTCCATGTCAGTTTTTTGACAACTTAAGTGTCAGAGCCCTCTGCAAATCCTCCTCCTCATCTAACACTCCCAACTCATCATTTGCTTCTAAGACTTGTTCAAGGCCTGTTTTAGGGACACTTAGCTCTTTTAATAGGCTAATTCTTCTCCAAGTAAGTTTTGGTTGATGTGTCTGTTGGACCCTGACCATCTGCAGAAGTTGGTGAGCTTCACAATCTGGCAGATTACTCTGTAAAAACGCGTGGTAGTCTTTACTGGTAATCTTTCCTTCTGACATTCTCATCCTTTCTTCGTCATCTAGCTGATGTGCAGCTGAGGATAATCCCACAGGGCTAAAGTATTTTCCTTGCAGAGATATTCAGGCAATATTGAGCACAAAGGGAACCTTCTTATTTCTTGTGGAAGATCGACTCCATGTTCACTTGCCTCTCTGTAGTATCTTTTGATGCACAAAAATTTTAAATTTTGGTCCAATTTATCTATTTTTAACTTTTGTGGCTTTGTGCTTTTGGTGTCCTTCCTGCCCAAATTACCACCAAATCCAGCATCATAAGGCTCTTCCTCTGTTGTCGCTAGCATTTCATAGTTTTAGGCCTTTGATCCATTCTGAGTAATATTTGCATGTGGTGTAAGGTAGAGATCAAAAGTATTCTTTCTTGACTGTAAAGGTATAACCAAAGAAAACATTTTCTTAAATTTCACTGTCTACCTGGCTTATCCTTTTGAAGAGGGTTAGAAAAATAAATCTTCAGTCTTCCCAAAATCATTTATTGATTGTCCTTTCTTCATTGAATGGTCTTGGCAACCCTGTTAAAAACTATGGAGTATATAATCTTAAATGTATGCTTGTTGGGCTGGGGATAGAGCTGAGCGGCACAGTGCCTGCCTGGCTAGCATGAGGCCCTGAGTTCAATTCCCACTACTCAAGGAAAAAAAAAGTGCGTTTGTATTTCAAATATCAACATATTTAAAACACTGTAGCAGGAAAGCTGTATATCATACAGAAAAAATTATATTTGATATGAGAATAGAAAATGAATACAGGAAACAAATATTTTAATAAGTTTTTTTTACCAAAATATAAAAGTTAATATTTAATAGAGTTAATCACTAATAAGTTTCAGCTAATTGAAAATACATCTGATTCATTCCTTTTACACTTTTACTGACAGATTTCTAGGACTCAGCACCAATGTCTGATCTCTATTTTAAGTATTTGTATATTTTGTTAGTATTGTACACATTAAAAATCTATTAACACCAATAAAAATAATTTTCTTTTTATAATAAAGCAAATTATTTTTTTCTGTGTATTTTTCCCACAAATTTTACTTGGTTTTATTCCAAAATGGCTATAAAAGTACTGTCATTAACTTTCCCATTCCTTACCCAAGTATCGGTCATATTTTTTTTTTACATTCTATTTTACCATTTCTCTAACTTTGAAAAACTGATTGTTGATAATTTTTCCTTATTCATAAATTATAATTTTAAAAACAGTAAAACAAAACAGATAAGTTTGTATTGTCTCACTGGGTCAGGGAGAGCAAACCTGCCAGGCTCAATTATTAGATGCTTAAAGGCAGAGATCCTGTCTTCATTACTTTCTATTTCTCCAAGAACACCACCACCATAATGTTGTACTCAATAAAGCAATG